ACGATTCTCCACGTGCTTTAGATGACATTGCTTTACATTTTGATGGAAGTACTTTGATTCCAAATTGTTCTATGGTGTCATGGAAAGGAATGAACTCTTTCGCGTTTAGTGTATATCACAAAATGTGTACTGCACTTAGAAACAAGACAATGTGACTGGAGTCATTGTAACATAATCGACAAGAGTAAGTGTTCTGGAAATTAGGAAGGAAAGTTTCCTCTTTCAACTACTGACAGTTGCAGATATGCAAGGCATTTAGTTATCGGTCCGTAAATCTTATGATTGAACCAATCGATCACAGTGCCAGGTGTTACATAACAAATTCTGTCGGTCCAATAAAACTGAATTTATTAAATAAAAGTATTGGGCGACTCTTCCTTTGACATCACGTAAGCATGTTTTAAAAAGTGCTCCATTTACCCTCGACAGCAATTTGTCTACCAAAGACATTAAGTCGGAAATAAGAATTGATTAGCAGTTGGAACACTTCTTGACTGGTAATTCAAAGCACCAAAATTGTTTGCTTGAGATCGAAACTGACATTCTAGTAGTCAACACCCGGTTGCGTACTTTGTAGGGGCTGTGTCGGCCGGGAAATGTGTTACTGTTCCTAAATTTTTCCGTGATTTTCTTTACTCGCTCTATACTACGATACTAGATTGAAACCAAGGTCACTTCCATCCACGTATTGTTCAATTACGTCTTCTCAAATAACTCTACCATTCTACTCTGCGCAAGTCTTCTGTCCAGGACAAAAATGTGTGTCCTTAATGATATACTACCCGAGACATTCATAATACGGGATATAATCTTCTTCTTCTCCACAACTGCTACAGTCCGTTGTGGACCCTGCCTTCCAGTACAACATTCCACCATTCTTGGTGGCACCGGAGATATTACGCTGACAAACTTCAACTCTCTATCAATAAGGCGTGCACTTCTAATATCATGATAAAGTTCATGGTAAGCTGAGTACTATAAATAAACGATGTAGCCTAACAACCAGACGTAACAGTTCTGTCTGTACCAAACGAGATAATGCCTGCAAGGTCGGATGTTCGATTCCTTGCCGGTGCGTTGGTAATATTCACTGCGCCGCTACGTCTCAAAGTGATACACTCTGCCTCCTAAAAGATTAATGTCACGCCCCTTTAGCTGTACGTAAAGGAGTTCGAGTTTAAAGATGATCACTCAGCTTCATCTAATGCACGGTTACAAAATTCATGCTTCGTCGCCTCGGTTACTTACGGCGTGCTTTTTCGAACAGAGGACGATGCAACAATGGCACTTACCAGCACTTATTGAGATTTCTATAGCCAGTGTTACTGTTTGCACTTCACAATAAAAGTCTTATAATCATCGACAGGAAGAGATACAATATAAGAAAAATTGCTGCTGAAAAGGTCCACGGCAAAAGCTTACTCAAACCAAAAGAAACACAAACGACACAACCATTCGAGACTGCCTGTTACAGCTGTGTGTAAAATTTATTCATATATAACAATAATGTTTTAATACATCAATTAAACTATAATTGCATTAAGTATATTAACTAAGACAGCAATATAATTTGCACAAGGTCACAGCGTATGCAAACTTTATCATCTGCAAATATTTTTCGATTTCCAAATTACCTGCTTTTAGTGCGTGTTCTATTAATCAGTATAATAGTGTAGTTGCGACAAAAGGAAGGGAGCAGAATAAGAAGTAATAGGTTGAAACATGTCGGCGAGTGATTAATGACAAGAACAAAACAAGTGTATGAGTACATAGCAAATTTTTATTTGTACCTTCAGTCGTACAGTGTGATGCGCGAGGTTGAGACGGTTTCCTTAAGACTACTGTGAGGGACCGAGCAACAAATGAAGAGAAACTATTTTAGGAATAACTAGCATAATACTTGTTGTAGATGACATTCCATATATTGCAACAATCGCTGCTTAAATTTATGCATAACTTGTTGGATAAAAGAACTACTAATTCAGTTGGTAATGTGGTCTTTCATTTCTTGGATGGATTAAGGGCGAGTAGCACATATTTTAGCTTCACAGCCCCACATGTTGGCTGTGGGGATATCCTAAGTCTACTGGCTCCAGTTCATCCAAACATAAAAGCCTGCATTGCGAAAGAATTAATAGTGCTTTAATGCAGCGAGTTATGCAGAAGATAGCTGTCTTCTGGTTTGTTGCCCCGTGTAGTCAGGTAGAAGTTCACCGACGTTACAGTGGTCCTTGCTGCATCCATCATCATGGCAATCCCCTGATGATGGAGGCACTAAACGGTGCAACAACCCAGAAGACAGCCATCCTCAGATTCACTTCGTGAAAACCTTAAATACTAGAAAGTCATGCAGAACTTCGGACAGTGATCACTAAAATGCATCAATAAACAATGATGTCATCTAGAATACATAATCTTCAACAAGTAAGTTATGGATAATAAATTTCAAACACTATTCCAGTTATTCTTAAAAATTATTCACTTCATTTTCCGGCCGACCTCTCATAGCACTTACGGCAAACCATCATAACTTGGTGCATCATTCTGTAATTTAACATATCTACATCATATTGAAACAAAATCTTAACCCAAGACAAACATAAAATGTATTAAAACCTACATATATTTCTCACATGCATGGGAAAAGGTTCATCAACAAATTAATAAAAGCCCTCCCCCGATCTCTGTCCTAGGATAACAAAATCCAGTTGCCTTCAACTCCTACCACCCATAATTTATGAGGAAACAACAGATTCATACAAACAATTTCTGCCTTAAAACAGATTTTATTGCGCGGCACCTGCTCCAATTAGAATTGGCAAACTGATCTCAGATTTCTAACTTGAAAAAGACGCTCGTGTTCCTCTTCAAAGCGGCGTCTTGCAAATTTCTTTCTTGAAACAGGAGATATTTTTCACCGAGCATTAAGATTGCTTTTATAGTAATAAAGATTGTATTTTAAGTAAGAGTGCTTTTGTGGATGGCACATTAGTGCCTGCTCCACTTCCAATCGGGACCTTCGTCACGAAGTTCTTCCTTGCAAGAGATGATCTTTCTAACGGCACATTAGTTCCTGTTCCAGTTGGAATAGAAATTTCATTCCCAAACTTCTTCCTTGAAACAAATTCTTTTGTTGACCGTACATTAGGGAGAGATTCAATTAGTTTTTGGAGCTTATTAGTAATGTTCTTATTTGAAACAGATGCTTCCGCTGACCGCACGTTATTGCATGCTCCAGTTACAATCGGGATCTTATTAACAGGCTTCATGTTTGAAGCAGATGCTGTTCTGGATAGTATATTGTTGCCTGCTCCACGCCGATTAAGGAGCTTATTCATGAAGTCCTTCCTTGAAACAGATGCTTTCTTTGACAGCTCATTTGTGCATGCTTCAGTTACAATCGGGATCTTATTAACAATGTTCATGTTTGAAGCAGATGCTGTTCTGGATAGTACATTGCTGCCCGCTTCACGCAGAATAGGGAGCTTATTCATGAAGATTTTCCCTGAAACAGATGCTTTCTTTGACCCCTCATTAGTGCGTGCTTCAGTTTCAATCGGGATCTTATTAACCAAGTTCTTTGAAACAGACGTTTCCGTTGAGCAAACTTTCTTGCATCCTCCAGTTACACACAGATTCTTATTAACAACGTTCTTCTTTGAAAAAGCAGTTTCCGTTGACCGTACGTTACTGCATGCTTCAGGTGCAATTAGGATCTTATTAACAACGTTCTTCTTTGGAACAGACGCCCTTGTGGATAACACATGGACGCCTGCTCGACGTCGAATCGGAGGATAATTCATGAAGTTTTTCAATGAAATAGATGCTTTATTAGATCGCTTCTTAGTGAATGCTCCAGTTTCAATCGGGATCCTTTTAATCAAGTGCTTTGAAACAGATGGTTGTGTTAAGCTCACGTTCCTGCATCCTCCAGTTACAATCGGGATCTTATTAACAACGTTCTTCTTTGAAATAGATGTATGCGTTGACCGCAAGTTCCTGCATCCTCCGGTTACAATCGGGAACTTATTAACAACGTTCTTCTTTGAAATAGATGTATGCGTTGACCGCACGTTACTGCATGCTCCATTTACAATCGGGATCTTATTAACAACGTACTTCTTTGAAACTAACGGCCTTGTGGTTAACATATGGTTGTCTGCTCCACGTCGGGGCTTATTCATGAAGTTCTTCTTTGAAACAGATGCTTTTTTTGACTGCTCCTTATTGCATGCTACACTTTCAATCGGGATCTTATTAACCAACTCCTTTGAAACAGATGTTTCCGTTGACCCCACATACTCGCACCCTTCTGTTACAACCGGGATCTTATTAACAATGTTCTTCTCTGAAACAGATGTTTCCGTTGACCCTACGTTAGTGCATGCTTCAGTTTCAATCGGAATCTTATTAACCAAGTCCTTTGAAACAGATGTTTCCGTTAAGCTCACGTTCTCGCATTCTCCATTCACAGACGGGATCTTATTAACAACGTTCTTCTCTGAAACAGATGTTTCCTTTGACCCCACGTTACTGCATGCTTTAGTTTCAATCGGAATTTTATTAACAATGTTCTTCTTTGAAACAGATGTTCCCGTTGAGCTCATGTTCTTACAACTTAGAGTTAAAATCGGGATCTTACTAACAAACTTCTTCTCTGACACAGATGTTTCCGTTAAGCTCACGTTCTTGCATCCTCCAGTTGCAACCGGTAGGTTATTAATAATGTTCTTCTCTGAAACAGATGTTTCCGTTGACCCCACGTTAATGCGTTGTTCAGTTTCAATCGGGATCTTATTAACCAAGTCCTTTGAAACAGATGTTTCCGTTAAGCTCACGTTCTCGCATTCTCCATTCACAGACGGGATCTTATTAACAACGTTCTTCTTTGAAACAGATGTTTCCTTTGACCGCACGATATCGCGTGCTCCAGTTACAATCGGGATCTTAATATCAATGTTCTTCCTTGAAACAGATGCTTTCGCAGACCGCACGTTATTGTGTGCTCCAGTTACAATCGGGATCTTAATATCAATGTTCTTCCTTGAAACAGATGCTTTCGCAGACCGCACGTTATTGTGTGCTCCAGTTACAATCGGGATCTTAAAAAGGATATTATTCCTTAAAACAGATGCTTTATTTGACCTCACCTTAGTGGACGATTTAGTTTTAATCGGGATTTTATTAACAAGGTTCATGTTTGAAGCAGATGCTGTTCTGGAAATCAAATTGTTGCCTGCACCACGTCGAATGGGGTGCTTATTTATGAAGTTCTTCCTTGAAACAGGTGCCTTTCTTGATCTCACCTTAGAGCATGCTCCAGTTTCAATCGGGATCTTATTTTTCTTTGATCTCACCTTAGAGAATTTTCCAGTTTCAATCGGGATCTTATTAACCAAGTTCTTTGAAACAGATGTTTCCGTTGACCGCACGTTAGAGGATGCTCCTGTTGCAATCTGGATCTTATTAGTAATGTTCTTCCTTGAAACAGATGCTTCCGCTGACCGCACGTTATTGTGTGCTCCAATTACAATCGGGATCTTATTAATAATGTTCTTCTTTGCAACAGATGCTTCATTTGACTTCACCTTAGTGCACGATTCAGTTTTAATCGGGATCTTATTAACAATGTTCATGTTTGAAGCAGATGCTGTTCTGGAAATCAAATTGTTGCCTGCACCACGTCGAATGGGGTAATTATTTATGAAGTTATTCCTTGAAACAGGTGCCTTTCTTGATCTCACCTTAGAGCATGCTCCAGTTTCAATCGGGATCTTATTAACAAAATTCTTCTTTGAAATAGATGTTTCCATTAAGCTCACATTCTCGCATCCTCCAATTACAACCGGTAGGTTATTAACAATGTTCTTCTCTGAAACAGATGTTTCCGTTGACCCCACGTTAATGCATTGTTCAGTTTCAATCGGGATCTTATTAACCAACTCCTTTGAAACAGATGTTTCAGTTGAGCTCACGTTCTCGCATTCTCCAGTTACAATCGGGATCTCATTAGAAATGTTCGTCTCTGAAACAGATATTTCCGTTGACAGCACGTTAGAGCATGCTCCAGTTACAATCGGGATCTCATTAGCAATGTTCTTCTCTGAAACACATATTTCCGTTGACCCCACGTTAATGCATTGTTCAGTTTCAATCGGGATCTTATTAACCAAGTCCTTTGAAACAGATGTTTCAGTTGAGCTCACGTTCTCGCATCCTCCAGTTACAATCGGGATCTCATTAGCAATGTTCTTCTCTGAAACACATATTTCCGTTGACCCCACGTTAATGCATTGTTCAGTTTCAATCGGGATCTTATTAACCAAGTCCTTTGAAACAGATGTTTCAGTTGAGCTCACGTTCTCGCATCCTCCAGTTACAATCGGGATCTCATTAGCAATGTTCTTCTCTGAAACACATATTTCCGTTGACCCCACGTTAATGCATTGTTCAGTTTCAATCGGGATCTTATTAACCAAGTCCTTTGAAACAGATGTTTCAGTTGAGCTCACGTTCTCGCATCCTCCAGTTACAATCGGGATCTCATTAGCAATGTTCTTCTCTGAAACACATATTTCCGTTGACCCCACGTTAATGCATTGTTCAGTTTCAATCGGGATCTTATTAACCAAGTCCTTTGAAACAGATGTTTCAGTTGAGCTCACGTTCTCGCATCCTCCAGTTACAATCGGGATCTCATTAGCAATGTTCTTCTCTGAAACACATATTTCCGTTGACCCCACGTTAATGCATTGTTCAGTTTCAATCGGGATCTTATTAACCAAGTCCTTTGAAACAGATGTTTCAGTTGAGCTCACGTTCTCGCATCCTCCAGTTACAATCGGGATCTCATTAGCAACGTTCTTCTCTGAAACAGATATTTCCGTTGACCGCACGTTAGAGGATGCTCCTGTTGCAATCTCGATCTTATTGGTAATGTTCTTCCTTGAAACAGATGCTTCCGCTGACAGCACGTTATTGTGTGCTCCAATTACAATCGGGATCTTATTAATAATGTTCTTGTTTGAAACAGATGCTTCCGTTGTCCGCACTGTAGTGCATATTTTAGATGAAATCGGGATCTTAGTCTCAGTTTTCATATCAGCTGCTCTTTTGATTCCCACGTTTAAGCCTGCTCCATTTCGAATGGAGTTCTTATTCCGAGTAATCGTACTCAAATCAAATGTTCTTTTAAGTCCCACGTTTGTGCGTGTTCCACTTCGAATTGGTTTCTTACTCACAATGTTCGTCCTTAAAATAGACGTTTTTGTTGGCACATTAGAGCATGATCCAATTTCAACCGATTTCTTACTAATAAATTTCTTCCTTGAAACATGTTCTTTTCGGGATACCATATTAGTGACTGCTGCACTTGTAATCTGTTCCCTGCTGCCAGATTTCAGCTCTGGAACATATTGTTTTGTTAACAG